AACAAAACGGCTCGTCAATCACGAACAGGTCGCATTCGGCTGGTTCGTTAAGTTAACAAGCCGAACACGAACAAAAGTTTGTTCAACACGAACAAAAGTTTGTTCGTTCATGTTCAACTCGAAATACCACTCATCATATATATATATATTGATGAGTAGTATTTTAAAAAAAAATTAATTGACTACAATTCTACAAAGATTTATATTCAATTAAAGGTATTACTTAAGAAAATAGAATAAAAATTATTAAATTGAATTCAAATGATGTTTTAATACGAACAGTAATTTTTAAATCTTGCCACAACCCTTAACATCTTATGACTATGTGATAAGAGTTGTCAAAACAACTCTTTATTTGTGAACAACTCGTGTTCGACTTGCTAAGCAAACGAGCCGAACACACACATTTTTCGAGCTTGAAATATAATCAAGCCGAACACGAGTTGTGTTCGGCACGTTTACACCCTTGATTTCCATTAATTCACAAACATTTAAAACAAATTAAGATGATGAAACAATCACTATCAAACTGAAAAAGCACTGTTGCTGATCTTGCTGGAAAGCAAAAGGAATTGAAATCCACAGCACATAAAGTTATATACATTGACATCAAGGGTGCAATGATGCAAAAGGGACAGGGCTCATCTCTGTAAACATTTAAAATCTATTTTCTCATCATGCAAGCCCAAGAGGTAAACCAGCTATTCAGATCAAACTCTATGGCTGAAAATATTGTCTATTTAGATGAATAGCCCCAAAAAAACATTATTACAAACTAGCAAGACGATTATACAATGCCAGGCCCAAGTTCATAGGGTGGAAGATAAGCCCAAAGTTTTGGTTAACAAAACATTTCTCATAGAAAACTATTTATACATAGAGAGAGAGAGAGAGAGAGAGAGAGAGAGAGAGAGAGAGAGAGAGAGAGAGAGAGAGAGAGAGAGAGAGAGAGAGAGAGAGAGAGAGAGAGAGAGAGAGGACTAATTGTCAACGTAGACCTCTGCACAGCACTCGCAATCTAAACCCTAAATCACAAACGATTTAGGGTACATTTAGGGCAGCTTGTGCGTTTCAGGATAAACAACTTATCCTGAAACGCGGCCCGCAGACCGACCGCAGGGTTCTACCCGCGGCCTGCATTTAGTGTAAAATGGATCCGCGTTTTAGGATAAACGGGCAAAGCGCGTGATCCAAATGAGGTCGCACGTTTTCAAAAACGCACCCGCACTTATAAGCTGCCCCAAACGACCCTTAATATCAGCAACCAAGAAGCATTAGCAAGAACCAAACTACATTTAATCGTAAAGCACCAGCAATTTGATTAGAACCAAACAATGTTTAAAAATCCAAACATAAATGATCGGAAATTATTTTACAGCATTCTATTGTACAAGAGCATTTCCATTCCTGCACAAACTTTTAAAACTACTTAACATTACAAATAATCACTATCAAACTGAAAAAAGCACTGTTGCTGATCTTGCTCGAAAGTTTTGGCTAACAAAACATTTCCCATAGAAAACTATTTATACACACAGAGAGAGAGAGAGAGAGAGAGAGAGAGAGAGGAGAGAGGACTAATCGTCAAAGCAGAACTCTGCACAGCACTCGCTGCAGGCAAAGCAGGAGAGGGCCGAGCACAACTGCGTTAGAGCAATCATGCACTGATCGCTTATTTTGGAACATGTTTTGATGCAGCAGACACAGCAAAAGCAATCACAGAAGCTACTGCAGCAGCCAACAGCTTTATTAAGGACAGCAAATGTGTTTGGAGCTTTAGGATCTGCTTCACAGCACGGCGGAAGATTCTCCAATGTCGCAATCAGATTTCCGACTCCAAGTTTCGGATAATGAACCAATGTGGCCGCTTCATTTTTGGTTCTGCTGTGTCTTTTATAATAACGTTTCTGTTCAAAGAAGTGGGACTGAGGCTACAGAACTGTGAGAATTGATTACCAAAATTCTGGCAGATTCAAGAAGATTAAAAAAAAAAACATTTGCAAAAATAATAATATTTATTTTATAAAATATTTTATAAACTTCTAAACTTTATTTTGATCAAATTGATATATATATATATATATATATATATGTATG